AGTAGTAGTAGTAGCAGTAGTAGCAGTAGTAGTAATAGTAGTAGTAGTAGAAGTAGTAGTAGTAGCAGTAGTAGCAGTAGCAGTAGTAGTAGTAGTAGTAGTAGTAGCAGTAGTTGACCTGTTGGTCCTTGAACCACCACCAGGAGGCGCCTGAATCACTAGTAGATGAGATTTCAAAATAAAAGTCCTCAGGTTTCTCCGAACACCGCAGCAGTGATTGGAAGCAGAGAGTAGAGGAATAAACTGAGAGCTCTCACTCCGCCTCAGTGTTGGGAGAACAAAAACGATCAGCTCCACTGTTTGAAGCAGTAGCTTCATGTTGACACAGATGTTTTGTTGTGTGAATTATTCCATAAATGAAATGATCATTGTTTGTTTTAGTTTCAATATAATGAATCAATGATTGATAGAAAAAAACTATTGATTAGCACCGTCACATATTTTAGATCCTGAGAAGTCAGACGTTTTCCTCAAAGTCAAACTGGACGTTCATCTCATCAGTTGATATCAAACACGAGCTGAAGACCTGACGAGAGGAACATTATGTGGGAGCATGTCGGTAAGTTCATATTTCTACACGAAGCAAAGCAACTAAAGGAAATACAGATTCCTGCATCACATCCACTCAGTGTGTGTGTGTGTGTGTGTGTGTGTACACATGTGGAGTTTATAAAGTACTAAAGTTACAGAAGTAGTTTTAAAGTTAAATTAGATTTTAATATTTTAGTAAAAAAAGACTTGAGCAACATTAGTTCAGCTCTTGTCTGATATTTAAAGATTAAAGATTGATGACATTGTTCATCTCGTGTTTTTAGGCGTTGAGGTCTCGACCTCATCAGTTATCTGTTAAATACTCTGATAATCTTTTATCTCATCTGGATTCTTCATGAATCATGTGGAATATCTTCTTAAATATAGATAACAGTGATGGTTGAATGCTGAGGGGAAGTTTTATCGTCTGTATTAAATGTATTTCATCTCATTTGGATTAATTGTCCTTCACTGTGTTTGAAGCTGAGAATGTTCAGTGAATTAAAAATCTTATTTTAAGTGGATTCAATAAGAGAATGGAAGTCAGTGGTGGAGAAGTCGGACAGTGGACCAGTGGTAACAGATCCAGAGTCAGAAGATCAGCTGGTGAATCAATGAATCTGTTTCAGGAAGTGATCTGAGGAAACTGATAGTGAGTCAGCTCCCTGCGGTTCTTTCTTTGAGCCGCGGAGTGAGACGTCCCTGCGGCCACAGAGGATCTTGGAGCGGCTGGTTCTCCATCGGTCGGGAACGTCTCCTCGCGCCGGGAAACCTCACTCTAATGTCGGCGTTAACCCGCCGGGACCTCGGCCTGGAGCCTCTGCCGTGAAGTAGCGTCCGCAGCAGCGCCACGTCCGCGGGAGCGGAAGCGAAGGAAGCCGGAGGAACGAGCAGGTAAAGCGGGATCGATCCCTAACTTCGCTCCCTGCCCGCGGGTCCGAGCCCGACTTTTCTGGGCTCCGTCTACGCACTGGAGCAAACGCACTCTGTCGGTGTGTTCCGAAGAGACGCGGCGTGTTTTCATCTCTTCGTGGTTCCGTCGGATCCAGTTTGTGTTGTTGACGTTGTGTTTCAGTTTGTGTGTCTGTGTGTGACGTGGAGACAACCCGACGACAACGTGCAGGACTCACCGAACAGATTTAGTGTGTCTGAGTGTGTGTGTGTGTGGGGGGCGCGCTAGGTGATAGACGGGTCCCTCCGGCTGCTGCCGTGATAAAAGTTGGTCGCAGCTCAGTTCGTCGGTTTTCACTCGTTCGGATCCAAAGTTTCGCTCAAACACTTGAATTCACCGGTTGTTGTTCACGCGTCAACTTTTTATCGCAGGTTTCTGGAGATTTTCCCGGTGAACGTTGAGCGAAACGCGCATTCCTGAGTTAGCTAGCTCCGCTCGGCTCCGCTGTAATTAGACTTTAGCTTTAGCTCCCGGCTAACTCCGCTCAGTCACAACATATCGACATCGATCACCGATCGATATCGTCTCGCGGGCTTCGCAGCCGCTAACGTGGAAACTTCGGCAGCGGAAACTTTTGCGGAGTCACGATTAACTTCGTGCGAAGCGAACACGTGTCCGGTGAAGAGTCTTTAAATCAAAGCGTTTGTTCGTTTGTTAATGATTCTCTCGGAAGTTTCCTTTGTTAGTTGGTTGTTATTGTTGTTGAGCTAGTTAGTTAGCGTCGCGTGCTAACTTCGTCATGAAACTCAAACAACTTGAAATCTCAACTTTGCTGTTTATCTCTCTCACCTGGTTTTGTTTCCATGGTGATTGTGCTCCTCTCTCACCTGGGAGGAAAGTACTTGTTGGAAAGTAACTGAGTACTGCAGGTACTCTTACTTGTACTTTTGTACTTCAGTACAAAGATCTAATACATTTTTACTTCAAGTTACTAATGAGGCAGCTTCGGTTTCTGTTCAAATCACAGAGAACTCATGAAGAGTGGATGTAATAAGATCATTTTAAATATTAATGGAAGAAAATGGAACCATTGGTGATAAATGTTTTATTTTTCATGGTAAAGTACTGGAGAGGTTTAGCTGCTTTAACTTTTTAATCAATCAAATAATAATGATAATATTATTATAGAGCTTTTAAAGGAACTCAGACACATCGAGATTAAAATCGGGATAATGAACTATAATCATGTTGACAACATTGTGACGGTGTCGATCTGTTTTCTGAGTCACAGCATGAATATTAAAGTTGATTATGAATTCATAACACAATCAGTTCATTTGTTCATAATATAAATAACAAATCTACCGTTTGAACATTTCACACAGTGAAGAATTAGCAATATTGTAAAAATAATCAAGAGCTGATGAATGCATAATTGTTTCTGTGTTTTTATTGGTACAGTGCAGGATACTGAAGACGAATCAGTGTGAGGACATTTTAATGGATATTATTACTGTAAACCTTGAACAACAGTAGTACTCCAGTTGTCTGACAGTGAGAGATTAAAGATGATAACATTGTTCAGTCTTGTGTGTTTGGACGTTGGGGTCTGGACCTCATCTTGTTCGTCTCATTTTATCTGTGAAACACTTTGGTTGTTTGTTTTGGGGCTTTAAATGTGGACTGGTGTTGTGAATCAAACGCAGCCTCGTGTTGTCGTGAGTCTTTGTGTCTCGTCCAGCTCTCATGACTGCAGCTCTTTATTTCCTCCTCTCGTTAACTCGTGTGTTCTGATTGGGAACCAACTGTTAATCTGCTGCTTTGATTTCCAGGAAAAATGTGGGAATGTTCAGCTTCTGTTGATGTTGATGAGGTTGATGAGGTTGAGGATGACAGGCAAAAGTAAAGTGAACATGTGTGTGTGTGACTCGGTCCGAACAGGAAGCTGCTGCTGCGTTTGTCTGCTGATAGTAAACAATCTTTATTTTGAATTGTGTGTTTTGATGAGCTGCATTAATGCGGCCGCTCAGTCTGAAAGGATCGGTCATGTACTGTGGTGGAATGTGTGTGTGTGTGTGTACATTTACTCCACCACTGTACTCCCCTACAAATATAAATACATGTACTTGACTTGAGTCTTTGAATGCAGCTTCCTACCTGATACTCCTGTACTTTTTCTAACTGTGATGTCATTTCCTGGAGAGTCTTCTAATGCTTCATATCTCTAAAAGACGACACAACCTGTGAGCCTAAAGGTCAATGAACCATAATACATGAATACAAAGTACTAAAATTATAAATCAACAACTTTGCTCATCAGATTTGGCTAAAAAAATCAAACATATTGAAACTATTGTCTGTTTCATTCAGCCTCACACAGGAAACGAAGGGAAACTGACCAAAGTGCACAAGTAGTGCAACAAAACAAACAGCACTGACAGTTTCTCCTGGAAGATGTCGATCATGTTGTAGTTGCTGTTCACGTGAAAATGGTCAGAAACGGTTGTGTAATAAAAAAAGGAGAAGCTGAGACACACCCCCACACACACACACACACACCCGCACACACACCCGCACACACACACACCATGTGGAGTGTGAACAAAGGATCGTTGGTTTGAAACAGTCACAGAAATGGTCGGACACTGAACTTGTTCACACCCGACGTCAACATCCGTCTCAAGTGATTCAAACTCAAGTGGCTGATTCGGATTAGAACCGTTCACACCTGACGTTTGCAGAAATAAACAGGAACATCGTTTACCTTTGCATCCTCGCCTCCTCCCCTTCCTCACTTCCTCCCTCCCCTCTTGAGGGAGAGCGAGAGGAGGGTGCGGTGTTAAAAATTAAAATCTAGTATTATCCATATGCCAGACAGCTGTACATTCCACAGCCAAGCCCAGGATCTCTGTTACAGAAATAACGGACTGACAGACAGTCAGACCACAACAAGAGGGAGAGAGAGAAGAAAAAGACAAAATATAAATTTACATTCTGCAACTCGGAGCAGTTGAGTTTTCATCACCTGTTTTCTGTCAACACGCACGTTCTGTTTTATGCACTACAACAGCGAGTGTCGTTAACTTTCATTATCACTTAGTCGGAGAGATTTTTTTCTTGATTCTCCGTTAACATGTTTCGTCTGTGGATCGATCACAAATCCTGATTTCTTAAAATTTGTCCAAACAAACTGTCTGACAGTTAAACATTTTCTATTTTCTTTCACGTTAGTCAGAAATGTCTCCGGTCAACGAGCTTTAGAAAAGTCTTGAACTTGACTGAATCTGCAGAAACCACAGTGGCAGTCCATAAATCTCCGTTCTGTTGTCGAACACTGAACACACACTTACATTTAATTTGCTCCTCTCGTTGTGTAAGTCAGTCGTAGTGACAGAAAACAACAACTGGACTCGATTCTGGAAAAATGATTCATAATTATTATTTATTTGTGTTTTTTATACAAAGGCCCACAGATACAGTGACAGACTTTAATCTGTGTGAAGGAGTTTTTCTCCTGGACGCTCCGACCTCAGGGTGTTCGTGTAGTTTCCTCTTTATTGTCACACAGCAGTTGTGTTTGCGGAGCCAGTGTGGAAGCTTCTCCTCAGTTAAACCAGGAGATGAATGTGTGTTCAGAGACGGACAAAGGTTAAAAGCTGATATCCATCCTGTCACCTGTCTCATCTCTTTGTCCACTGATTGTGTATCATTCAGTGATAAGTCTGGGGTGTTGTGTTTTGTAGCAGCAGATCTATTCTTGACACCAGAGCCCGTTCGGTCCTGACCTCTGTACTGGGACCAGACCAGCGTCCAGGAAAGCTCTGGAGTCTGGTGGGGGAGTGTCACGCTGCTTTTGGAAAAATCCATTATCAGCCAGTGGCTTTTAACTCGGAGAGTCAGATGTTGTTGTCGCACAGTCCAGGGCCTGGAGTCGTAAAACCAAACCATGCAGCGCTGTGCTGCTGTTTCCAGAGTTCTAGAAGTGAGTTTGAAACCACAGTGAAGGTCCACGCTGTGCTAAAACATGAGGCCCTTGATCAACAAACTAATAAATGATCTGCAGCTGCGATGCTTCCTCCATTAATTGATCGGTCCACATAAAAAAATCTGTTTTCAGCCTCTTCAGTTTGAAGATTTCCTGATTCTCTCTGTTTTATATGAATGTTGTTTGAGCAAAACGAGGAATCTGAACATTTCTGAACAAACTAAACGATGACTCGAGAAGATGATTTTAATAAATGGTTGTTCTGTTAAAGCCGCCCTGAGGCGTTTCCTTGTCGACCAACAGTTTCTGTGTTTGCTCGAAGTCGTCGTGCACGTCCTCAAGACCTTAACGTGTGGAGAAGGTTCTTCTTCTCTTCCTTTGTTGGTGCGTTGCTGTGTTTCTCGGCACACCGCTGCCACCTGCAGGTCAATGGAACAGTGAGATATCGTGAGCAGTGCTGTGCGTTTGGTCGTATATCTGTGATGCGGTTGTTTGATAAATTCATTTAGAGATTATTCAGCAGTTGAGTCGTTTGTTTAAACCTCCTGATTTGTTTGTTGGGTTCATACTTGCTCTTCTTATGGTTGGCAGTTCAAGTCCCAGCTCTTTCTAATGCGTTTTCTTGAGCAAGGCATTAGACCCGACACCTTGCATGGTGTGTTTGCGGTTTATGAAATTCTTCAATTCTTTGTTTACTTTTTTGACAGAAATGTTTCCAGAGCCCGTCAGTGACGAATAGTTTGCTTTTAGAGTTTCACCTCTTATCTGTTTTCTTTTGCAAAATTCAAAATAAGTGAAAGAAAATGTACAGAATAAATCAGTTTTCTTTGCTTTTCCTTCTCTTCGTTTTCTACACATCCGTCTTTTCTTTGTTCTCCATTTTAGATCATTTCTTTTAATTCTGTGGCTGGTTTTTTAGAATCTGTGTTAATCTGTGTTTTCAAACAGTGACGCTTCTTTTCTTGTCTGACTTGCGAGACCTTTCTTTTTCCATCCCTGTTTCTTTTCCCCTCACTT